AGATTTACAGCATCTTTGTTCTCCCAGCAAGGTTAAAGGCTAGGTAGATGCTGACTACATCTGTCGTGTAAATGTAGGTAAAAACAAATAATGTTTTCATTGAGATTGAGAACTCTAATTCAGTGGATCTCCAAGCAAGCTGTAAATGATTGGAATTGGTATTAATGATAGGTTTTTTGGTTGGTTTTTTTTTTTTTAATACATTGGCTAATTTCATTTGTGAGATTCACCAAGAGCTGTTAACCCTACAAAATGTTTAAATCTTCAGTTAGTTTCCTTTTGTAGAAGGGAACACTAATAACTTCCAGTTGAGTAGGCTGACAAGCTGGTAAAAAACCTCCTCAGCTTACAACAAACCTGGGGCAGAAAGGTTGTTGACCTCTGCAAACTTTTAATTCAAAGAAGCAGCCCTGAAGGGAGGCTGCTTATAGTTCTGCCTGATTGAATTTGGCAGCCTGGTACATGCTTGAGTCTTCACCTGTCAGTGTACAAAGTTTATTTTCTGAGAAATGTGAGAAAGCAGCTGTGATGTATAGCTAGCAAAAGACTAACCTTTCTGCTGGAAAACACATACAGATCATTTATAACAGAAGCAAATACAATTCATTAGTATTCTTCTCTCTGTTATGGTTAAATCCACTGTTTAAATCAAACATCTCATACTCAGTTACTATTTTTACATTATTTTATACTGAAATTATAATACTAAACATTATAGACTTTACAGGCTTTTCTGCTTCTTGATAGGTACTCCTTTTTCAAAATACATTTTTATTGTCTTACTGTAGTGAACGTACAAAAATCAGGGAGAAATTTTAGTTTCAGATAAGCTGTCCAGACACAACCCTTTCTACAAGCTGATTGTTGTAGCTGGTATTGTCTTCCAAAATTATCACAGAATTGCAGGGGTTGGAAGGGGAACTCAAGAGATTGAGTCCAACCCCTGCTACAGCAAATGCCCTACAGTAGGCCACACAGGTAGGCTTCCAGACCGGTCTTGAGTATCTCCACAAGTGGAGACTCCACATCCTCCCTGGGCAGCCGGTTCCAGTGCTCCATCACCCTTACCATAAAGAAATTCATCTGCAGTTTGTATGGAACTTTCTGTGTTCAAATTTTAGGCCACTGCTCCTTGCCCTATTATTGTGCATCACCAAGAAGAGCCTGGCCTCATCTATTTGCCTCCCACCTCCCTTTAGATATTTATTAACATTGATCAGATCTCTCACTCAGTCTTTTCCCCAGGCTGAACACACACAGGTTACTCAGCCTTTTCTCATACGGGAGATGATCCAGGCCCTTTATCATCTTTGTGACCCTCTGCTAGACTCAGAATAGATGGGAATACTTTTTTTGTTCTAGCTGGGAGTATTTTAGATAAAGTTGGCTTCTGTAGGGCAGATGCTGGGCACAGTTTAGCAACCTCACGGTTGTTTTAATTTCTTTGCAGCCTTGTTTGGATTATCCAATAATCTTACCAGCTGATGACTTTCCTGTTTGCACTGATTTTTTTTTTTTAAATGTCATTTTAGCTATTTCACTTCTTCCTAAATACTGGAATCATTAATATGAAGCACATAAGGCTTATTCTAAATGTCTGAAAGGATTAATTAACTGAAACAGTAGCAACATAATTGTTTCTGTCCTCTTTCTCCTCAGTTTTTTCATCCTCAGTTTGACAGCTTTTTTTTCATATTGACTTGCTTGGAAATAGTGTTGATCTTCTCATTTACTGTGTTC